ACACTTGGAACACTGGGGGCCCGTCGAGGCGGCCTTGGTTTCTCCTGGATGTATTGGGCGCACCGTTGACCGACGAGAAATTCTCGAGATGGAGCAGGGGGCAGACACTGAAGACTAATTCGGTGATGGCCCGTCGGTACGAAAGTCGTTTCAGTGCGTGGCCCTACAAGATGCACGAGCTTTCGCACGAACGGTCGACTCATGCCGAAAAGCAGTTGCTAGCTCGTGAAGCGCTCGATGCTCCAGACTACATGCTCGACTCGTACACGAAAGGTGTTCGCAAGCTCTTCAACTCCACGGATGCTCCCACGTCGGTGAAGTGCAGGGTTGTGTTGGGCAACGACTTCAGAGCTCACTGCTACGGGACAGATATGGTTGAAAGGCTTAACAGCTTGTACACTGCTCGCCACCCAGCACGGGCCCCAGGCAGGAACTCCGTGAACGCCGAACGCGAGCACTTCCTGGACCAGCTCAGCGCCGTTCACCAGAAGAACGGTGGCGACGACCCAGTATCATCATCAGTGGTCTCGTCCCTTCGTCTCGGCAGCACGGAGAAAAATGAGACGGTATATTATCTTCCATGGTTGGATGTTTCGCCTTGCGTTCTTTCAGAACTTTTAGTTGATGATGGGGCGCCTGCACCGATGGCGACCGAGGGCGCGCCGAGGCTAGCTAGTGAGCTTGCCAGTGTTCCAGTGGCGCTTGCAACAGAGCAGAAGTTCTTCGAGGGGGCGGTCGTGGTGCACAGGCCGAACCCGAACATGTTGCCAGGCGCCGTCGAGACCAGTCGAGATGATGACGGCAACACGGGCAAGCTGGGCCTCAGCACGTACATGCTCGCGAAGAACAGGCACCTCGCACAGGCGAAGGAGACCGCGAAGGCTTCGGGGCAGTGAGGGCTCAGCAGAGACGACGTCGATGCACACACTGAGGAGTTCAAGCGCATGTTCAAATATTGCGACCAGGATGTCTATTTGGACGCGTACAGGGATTGGCAGCATGGCCAATCGGCAGCCCCCCGTGAAGATGTGAAGCCATATGAATTGGTGCGGGGGGGAGGCAGCCGCGCGAGCCCGTTCACGCCAGACGAACTGTGCAATTACATTATTCAGAATGGATGGCCCAAGGACAGCGCAATGTACGACGTGGACCTGGCCGAGAGGAGGGCCAAGCGTGATTTCAGTACTCAATTCTCGGAGGTTGATGTGGTCGATCCATGGGGCGTGTCCCGATCGCCGAGAAACGCGGACCGACCCAGGTCCAGAGTACCAGCCGCTTTCGACGTGGTGGAGAAGGGGCTGTTCAACTTCCTCGCGTCGGTTGGCGCAGGCAAGGGCGAGGGCGATGCTTCGGACGTGATGGTTGTCATCTCGGGGAAGGCTGTTAGTGGGGGTGGCACGAAGCGCTACGCGAGCCTGATCACCGACGTGACGTTCAGCCCCCGCGTGTTCGACGTGACCCTCAACGAGTTCGAGAGGCAGGCCGATGAGGTTGCCGAGGACTTGCTGCGGTTTCGGAAGCCCTCCCCCCCACCCACCCACCCACCCCGAAAACGTGTAAGTGTTTGCTTTGTTTTTGGAAGGCAGCGTTCGCTTAGATGTCGTTTCACGCAAACGTCCCTGGGCTGGAACATTGCAGCTTTTTGGGTGCGGGGCGGGTCTGGGCAATCGGTGTTCTGAGCATCGGTCGCATCGCGGTTCTGGGTGCGTGGGCGGCTGCGGTGGGGAGAGGGGGGGCCTTCTGTGAACGCTAGGATCTGGCGTTTCCTTGCTACGTGAATATCCCGAATCGTCCAAGCAGGATCAGCCCCCGCTGCCGAGCTATTGGTACCAACACATCAGACGAGTACATATTCAAACTCATCAAGGATTTGGATCACATGGGCCTCTAACTCGCGGAGTATGAGATCTCCCACGCTAACGGTAACTTGAGAAGGTCGAAGCTGTCGGTCTTGAAACACATCGGTCGTCTGTGGGAGCCTGGGCAGGCGAAGCCGTTGGCCTTCAGGAGCGAAAGGGCGGCGCCCTCGGCGCCGAAGATGAGAGACTCCGACCCGTTCAGCGAGCAGGCCCAGGCGAGCGCAGGATCGGCTCTTCAGCAACTTGCACGCGGGCGTGGGCGTGGGCGTGGGCGTGGACGCGGGCGTGGAGAACATCGCGGTCGTGGCGGCCGCAGGGGCGCTGGTGGAGTTCTCGGGGGCGCACTCGCCGCGGATGCAGGCCCCGTGGGACACGTGCCTCCGCCAGACCCTATGGAAGCACCCCTGCCCATCGAGGACGGGGCCGGGCTTTCTGATGACGGCCCGCCCGCAGCAAAGGACAAGGGGGAGGGCGACTTCGACCTCGCCGACTCGGACGCGCAGTCGTCGGTTGACTCCGTGGAGAACTCGAGGCGGAGATTGTCGAGCAGCTCCCAACAGAGCTTGCGGAACGCCGTCATCCAGTTCTTACGCCAGACCATCGCGACTTGCCTCAACCGTCTGCCGAGGACACAGTGGACGAAAGCTCTGCCGCTGCCATTGTTGGGGCTGCTTGCGATTGTTTTGACGATGAGGCGGGTGCTTTAGGTGGGGGTCCAGGGCCATCAGGGGACCAGGAGCCGCGCCCCGACCCCCCAGGGCCGCCGCCATTCCCACCGCCGTTGCACTCACCACCGCCGCCCTGGGACGGCATTGTCGGCCCAGCCCACAAGGGTATTTCAGCTTAACAGGTAGGCACTGCGTTCGGATCCAGAGGGGGAGACCCTTGAATTCAGTGACGATCACATGCTACCGTCATCGAGGTTGCAGCGTGTGTGTGTCCCCGCACACCTTTGTGGCACAGACAATGCAATTTTCGACGGGCTGTTTGAAGTAGCAGCAACGCCTGGCGGCGCATCTGCCGCCGACAATAAACCGCTGGCTGCCCAGCGCAGGGCTCTCGCCAGGGACAATTGGAGCGCACAGGCGCACGCTGCGAAAGCCAAGGCCGAGGCAAAAGCTAAAGCTAAAGCCAAAGCTCGAGAGTAGGTGCTGCAAGCTAGAAGGAGGGGGGTAGCCGGGGCGGGGGCAGGGCAGGGGGTGGGGGGGGGGGGGGCAGGAAGTGGAGGATGGGAAGGGGGAGCTGGAGGATGAGGAGGGAGAGGAAGATGGTGGGGAGGAGGGGGGTCGGCAGGAGGTGGAGGGGGAGATTGCGACGATGACGTGGACAAGGAGGGAGGGGAACGGCTTAGGATGAGACGGATGGAACGAAGGAGCTGGGGGAGGGAGGAGGGGGATGAGGAGAATGACGCAAAGGAGGAGGGGGGGGATCCTGTGAACGAAAAGCAGTAGCAGACATTGCACACTTGTTCGGCGCGGAGGCTGTCCGCACCTGAGACGTACACAAAAACAGACAAGCCAGGCTTGTATTGAACAGTTGTCAGGCTTCTGCTGATTGAGGCCACCTCGGATCCCTCCCGCGCATTGCCCCGCCGTCCGTAACAAGTTTGGCCCAAGCCTTCCCAGGAAATCATTCGCATCCCATTCCAGGATTTGAGAAACCGAGGCGTCATGGCACCCGAAGAACCTGGGCCCCGAGATGCACATGCCCCAAGATGCCCCGAGCTGTCCCTCAGGCCCCAAAGACGCCCCAAGATGCCCAAGCTACTAAAAGCCTAAAGACGCCCCGAGACGCCCCTCAGGCCCACATTAAATTGAGAGCACGATGGGCCGTACCATCCCCTCTTGGGCCTCTCTTGAGCTGGGTGCTTGGGGTGATCTTTCGCCGTCTTGGAAGCCTCCTGGGCAGTCTTAGGCTCGGAATGGGGACTCCGCAGCGCGCGCCCCTTAGTAACAGAACAATCCTCCAGGGAACCAGGCCGAGCCATTAAACGCACATTGCATTGAACATGGTAGGGATGGCGGCAAGGGCCGAAAGGCATATGTATATATATATATACATGTGTATACGTATATGTTTATGAGTGCCTGTATACACATGTTGTTCCTCCCTGGCGTGTGAAGGCTGGACACGTCTGACTGAGATCCCAAACAAGGTGGAAGGCGGAGGTTGGGATGCCCCCCCCCCCCTGCCCCTGGTGGCCCGTGGGGGTTCTAAGAGCCCTCAAGGACCCATCGGTTTTAAGAGCCCCCTCCATCATTCCAAAGCACAACCTCCTGGGAAACCTGTGGGCCTCCTGGGAGTCGTTTTGGGGCATTTCGGGGGGGGGGGGGGCTTTGGGGCGTTGCTGCATGTTTTTCGTTTCTCGTTTTGGTCAGCTGCGTCCTCGGTGTCGGTGAACTCCCCGACGGGCTCTGGCCTAGCCTAAGCCGGCGTCCATGTATGTACTCTGTATTGTCTGCTGGCTTCCTAGCCGCTGGCGCCAGCGGGCTTGTGGTTGATCTGGGGCGCGGGAGCTTGTGCTGGAGCAGGTAAACCCCTCATCGCGGCCATGCGGTCCGACATTCTCTTGAGCTTCGAATCGGTTTTGCTTGTCAACTTGATTTGTTTGATGAGATCATTGCGGGGATCTTTGTTGATGAATTTCTGCACCTCGTAGCGCCTCTGAAGGTTGCGGCGAACGCTCATCTGCACGGTGCAGAGGATGTTGTTGCGGCATCATGGGCAATAGCCCTAGGCTTCCGCCTACCCCCCCCCCGCCCCCCAGGGTCCGCGAGCGGGGGCCCCCACGGGCGGGGGCGAAGGTCACGACCCCCCTCCCTTCCAGCACGCAGTGTTGGGGGGGAGGAGGGGTCGTGGCTGCCCGTCCCAACCCTTCTTTCGCGGGTCCGTGTGAGGGGTGCGCCTTTCTTGGTTATTAGTTGGGCTCCTTGGGCGTCTCGGGCATGTTGGGCTCCTGTCGTGCCCGTCTGGTTTGCCGCGCTGGTCTGCCCTGCGGATTTGCAATGCTGCCATGCTGGTCTGCGCTGCTCTGCCGTGCGGGTCTGCCGTGCTGGTCTGCCATGCGCTGGTCAGTCGTGCTGGTCTGCCATGCTGGTCTGCCCGCGCTGGTCTGCCATGCTGGTTTGCCGTGCTGGTCTGCCTTGCTGGTTTGCCGTGTTGGTCTGCTCTGCCGTGCGGGTCCACTGGGGTCCTCGGCCTTCCAGGGCCCAGTGGTCTCGGGGCTGCCGTGCGGCTCGCTTGGGTCTTCGGGTGTCTGGGAAGATTGCAAGGGTGGTAGTATCTTGGGCATATTGGGGCTTCTTTGGGGCCTGAGGGGCATCTTGGGACATCTTGGGGCATCTTGGGGCATGTGCATCTTGGGGCCCAGTTTCTGGGCATCATGGGCATTCGCCCTAGGCCTCCGCCCACCGCGCCCCCAGGGTCCGCGAACGGGGGCTCCCACGGGCGGGGGCGAAGGTCACGCCCCCCCATGCGCACCCCCCCCCTTCTCAGCAACGAAGTGTTGGGGGGGAGGGGGCTTCCCGCCCCCAACCCCCCTTTGGCGGATCCCGCGCGAAGGGTGCGGCATCGGGCACTAGCCCTATGCCTGCCGCCTAACCGCCCCCCCCCCTCCCCCCCCCCCCCCCCCCCGGGAGGTCCAGGGTCCGCGAACGGGGGCCCCCGCGGGCGGGTGCGAAGGTCACGACCCCCCTCCCTTCCAGCGCGAAGTGTTGGGGGGGGGGGGTCGTGACTGCCCGTCCCAGCCCTTCTTTCGCGGATCCGCGTGAGGGGTGCGCCTTTCTTGGGTATTATTATAGGGCTCCTTAGGCGTCTCGGGCATGTGCTCCTGTCGTGCCCGTCTGGTTTGCCGTGCTGGTCTGTCCTGCTGATTTGCAATGCTGCCTTGCTGGTCTGCGCTGCTCTGCCGCGCGGGTCGCTGTGCTGGTCTGCCATGCGCTGGACTGTCGCGCTGGTCTGCCATGCTGGTCTGCCCGCGCTGGTCTGCCATGCTGGTCTGCCGTGCTGGTCTGCCTTGCTGGTTTGCCGTGTTGGTCTGCTCTGCCGTGCGGGCCCACTGGGGTCCTCGGCCATCCAGGGCCCAGCGGTCCCGGGGCTGCCGTGCGGCTCGCTTGGGTCTTCGGGCGCCTGGGAAAATGTCAGGGATGTCTCAAGCGATGCGGTGGGGCAGCGACGCGGCAACAACAAAAACAAACAAACAGGTGGTCTGATCTCCCAGCGATCCCTGGTGCGAGCGCGGTTTAGGGCAGCAACGCATCGCAGAGACAAACCATAAACATGTGGTCTGGTCTCCCAGTGATCCTTGGCGCGGGCATGGGGGAGGGCAGCAACGCACCAAGCAAACAAAGCACACATAGGTGGTCTGATCACCCAGTGATCCCTGGCGCGAGCGTGGGCGAGGGCAGCAACGCACCAAGCAAAAACAGACAAAACAAACAATACAGTTGCGCTGCCGCGCGGCCCCGCCACTTCGCTCGGGCGGGCGCTGAGGCGAGAGTTTGAAAGCGAGCCGCCCTCCATCCGCGTAGCAGTTATGCGTCGTTGTATACGTTGTTTCACGTTTTTGGTACACGTGCCAGCGATGTTAACTTGAAAAACCGACGGTGGAAACCCGATGTAAAATTTCACTC